TTCTGCGCCCAATTCTGGTCCAGAACGTGTGCCTCCCAATTATTTGCCTCAGCTGAACAATTACACATGAAAATCACCGCATCACTGTTCTCGTTCTGTTCGCTGCTGATGGCTCGAAAAATGCGTTGTTACGGGTTGGTCTCTACATTGGCACGTCGAACAGCTTGCTCTTCATGTTATCTGCTGCGGGACCTTCGCATCAAAGCACGTACTGCTCGTCGCAGATAGCGCATGGAGCCCGAAATGTCATCCAGCTATCCCTACCCTCCCGCTTCATATCCGAGCTTTTTGAGTGACTGAAGTGACACTCTTCCACAGCAGCGGATCAGAATTCGCACATGGCGAGGACCCATCTCACGCGTAAGCTTACAACTCATCTTGACTAATGTTCAGAACTGACCATTGATAGAATATTCTATTAGTTAAACAAACTGTATAACCTCTGTGCTGTGACGACCTCTGTCGACATAGTCTCCCAAGAAGAGAGTGCGAGTTTCAGGAGGCCATCCGTTCACATGAAACCACCTCCAGATATCACTGTATTGCCCATGTATGTCCCCATAAATAGCGACAGGAACAGTTAGCTTAAAATTCCATCAATTAGTTAGGCTCAATTAGGAAAACCGAAAAAACTCAAAAGCGTAGTCGTACTTCTGTAACAGCATCCTTACCTCCAGAAGTGTAGGCTCCTGTGACAAAATTTCATGGGCCTTTCTTAGAATAGCAACAATCATGTCGTAGTCCCAGTCTATTTCACATGGGCCAAGTCGAATCACCTTAACAATAAGCATTATTGTGCTCGTAGGAAAAGGATGTTTTGGAGTAGAAGTCTTGCTGGCGTCTACTATTGCGCGATCACATGGTCAGTCCCTATGGAACTGATTGACGGGATGTCTATACCGATAAGAGGTAGAAGAAAATTACATTGCGCGCTGTCACGCAAGACATGATTTCAGATCTGTAGTGGGATGTTTGCGAGATTTACTTTGGCCTGTGTCCTATGTCCCTGAAAACTATCACTGAGTTGAGCTTCGTAGTATGTGCATCAAGCTGCGTTCTGTCAGCGTACGCCAGCAGCATTTACGAATATGTAGGTATCGATCTAGCGTTGGCCCGCGCATGCCGGTGCATACGGGACACAGCATGGGGATGTGCGAAATGTCGGTGTGAGTACGACCCCCCCCCGCATATACAAAAAATTAATATGACCCCCCCCTCCTTTTCCACAAGAAGAAATCAACTATCAAAAGAAAAAATCAACTATCAAAATAAATTTGTCTTACAAATACGACCCCCCCTCCCCAGAGCAAAAGTACGACCCCCCATGGGTTTGACACAACGATGCTGTACCCTGGGTGCATAGCAACGTTTTCGCTGGCAGTTTTGTTCAAGCTCAAACGTTGACATACGCAGGCGTTCGCTAAATTGATATCCCTACTTCCTAGTCGCAGGCCTACTCCGCCCTGCCGCACGTTGGCGTGCGCCACTCTAGGCGTGCAAATGCATTCAGGGTTTTCTGTTGCTCCACGCACTAATGTTGGATCCATCACTAACCCTGCTTTCTAGTAATGACCACAACATTGTCAGCAAAGAAAACATCGACTGAGAATTCGTGGAATTCCTTAGTTAAAAAAAACAATGCTAAACCAGACCGCTGCCAAAATATCCTCCATTTTCGAGCAATCATCCACTCCAGGACAGAATTGCCTGATCCTTACTTTCTCGGTAGGTGACGCGATCGGTGGTGGAATATGTGATCACCTTGAAATTTGACATAAAAATGGGCCGGTGTAATAACTAACTGCAGTTGGTGAACTTATCAACTCGGGCGGTCCTTGTTCAGATCTTGGTGGACTCGCGCCCAGGCCAACCAAGCCTTCTCTCCTCCGGGACGTAAAACTGGTACCATAGTCATTTGAGAGGATAGGAACACTGACTTGTACATCGGCTAGCGCCCCCTGTACGCATGACAGGTCATTGCTAGTAGCGCGGCACATATGCCTGGCATTCACTCTGGCCGTCACTGTTCAACGAATTCTGAATGGAAAAGAATGCGTAATCGCATCCCGCCACATAGGATTGATTGCAGGTTACAGACGCACCTCTTATTCCTTTATAAAATCTTCGCAGTATACTGTTCACCTGCAAGTAGCTGACGCACGGTATTATTACCTTCCTCTCGAGGTAGTTCGAAAGATTCTTTCTCATATGCTGTCAACGCTAGAGGCTCTGAGAGCTGGCCACCATAGTAGCCACATATTAAAGATTTTCCTCAGAAGACAACTAATCTATAGGCGAGATAATACTGTCTTCGCGCTCAAGGGAGATGACTTGGTTGTCCAGGGAAGTCCCGCCGATTTTTGAGGTCTTGACAGGAAAAGATTATTTTGTGAGAAGTGGATGAGATAGAGATACCCTCTTCAATTCGCATATTCCCTGGACCGGCTGACATTCTAGTGTACAGAGGGGTATAGAAGAAGACGCTCGCAGAGCCACATATCAGCAAAAAAACGTTTAATCGCAGCCAATGAGAAGGAGTGGATATGAGTACCAGAAAGATACCCAAGATGGATGATGATGAAGATGTTCCTCGATAAGCAGGAGCAGGCTCTCATCCATCACCTTCAGGTACACTAGAATATAAGGTCATCTTCAATCGCAGCCGGACTGGAGAAAGCTTATGGAATTCAAGCCACTTTGAACTGCTGCGCAAATTCCTTGTATGGAGTCACCATGGGCAGCTACGTGGGGACCAGCACCTCTAACCTGGAAGACCTCTAACATCGAGTAGCACTGATAACGTCGCTACGGTCCAGGATATCATCTTCACCACAGTCGCCAAGGCGCCGGATGATGGTATGGATCGGAAGTTCCTGAAATGGGAAGACCGTATTTTACACGAGACTAAAAATGAACGCTGACGATTATATCGAGCAGCTCAAGGAGCCTGCCTTCCCGTCGTTGCCTGTACCGCCTTGGAAACTTCGTGATGGTCTAAGATTGGGTGCCAGCCACGTAATCGAAGCGCCGTTGGAAACCTCTCGCATTGTTGGAAGTGAATGGCGTTGAGTACCTGAAGAATACGGAGTATTCAAGTGTGTCATCTGACCTAAACCCTCTCGATTATCGGGTGTCTTCGCGAAAAGCTCAAGAAGGGTGGTGCTGCAAGTAGCAGGAGAAATCAACGACCTCGCTGATCTCAGGCACCGAATTACGGTCCGCGTGGCGAAATCTCAAAAGGCTGGTGGCCGAGTTTCGTGGAAGTGTCCAGTCAGAATTTAATTAAGTGCAACTTGTATCGTGTTGAAAGTCGAGGAAGAAAAGTGTCTTTTACCTCGTCTCACTGTATTCTGCCTTGCGTTGCGTTACCGTAACGAAACCTTGTGTTTGCTCAGAATCCGGCGCAATAAGGGCCGTCCATGAGGCATCCTGCACAAAGTTTTCTTCGCAAAAGGTATGTAGTTCAGTCCCCAAAAAGGTATGTATTCGTTGAAGGGGTAACGTTGTAAATTAATAACAGCAAAACAGTGGGGCGTTGGTACATTCAAGTGCTATAGATGTGACGTCAAAGCCGTGGTGCACGGAGAGTGATAACACGGATAGGAGTTAACAGGTGCACGCCAACCAACGCCGGCCTGCATTTTATTATTTATTTATTTATCTTATTTAGCTATGCATTGCAAGGGTGCCGCTACAATGTGCTCGAAAAAATGCTGCCTCATGTAAGGTAAGAGCTTCAAACATGCCGATCGAAGCTAGAAAGGGTTAACAATAGATATTGGCGGCGTGTGACAGGCAAGACGTAGTGGAAAGGCTGCGTTTATACTTTGCGGGCAGCGTAGCGTAGCGTAGCGCAGCGTAGCGTAGCGTAGCGTAGCGCTTCCAGCGTACGCCAGCGGCAGTGCCGAAGAGAGGATGCATATCGATCTAGCTTCACCAGCGTCACCAGCGGCACGCTGGCGTACGCTAGCGGCACGCTAGCGTACGCCAGCGTTTCTCCAGCGTTTCACCAGCGTTTTGCTAGCGTTTGCAGCGGCAGGGGAGTAGAGACTATGGGAGAGCTGGAGGGTACAAAGCACATCGATTGCGCGTATCTCACTCGCCCTTAGTCTCTACAATGCACATCGCTTCTGCGTCTTCGACGGCCCCTTAGTCTCTACAATGCACATCGCTTCTGCGTCTCCGACGGCCCATAGTCTCTACAATGCACATCGCTTCTGCGTCTCCGACGGCCACATAGTCTCTACAATACACGTCGATTCCGCGTCTCTCGGCCACATAGTCTCTACTCCCCTGCCGCTGCAAACGCTAGCAAAACGCTGGTGAAACGCTGGAGAAACGCTGGCGTACGCTAGCGTGCCGCTAGCGTACGCCAGCGTGCCGCTGGTGACGCTGGTGAAGCTAGATCGATATGCATCCTCTCTTCGGCACTGCCGCTGGCGTACGCTCGAAGCTACCGCTACGGCTGGCGCTACGCTACGCTACGCTTACGCTACGCTGCCGGCCAAGTATACAACGCAGCCGAAGAATACATAAATGGCTGTTTTTGTTTAAGGCAAATTGAGTTGGGTTACCGAACGGGGCCCTATGACCCGCGAGCAAATGAATATGACTGTATCATATCGTTCGTATTACTCGTTTTCTACCACTTTTTGTCGCATGCGCGCTTCAACAAGAAGGCAGAGAACGGCTTTGACGGGGTGACACACTCATACTGCCTGACACGCCCAACCGTTCGCAGCGAAATGGAG